TTCTCAATTTCTCCACCACTGGCGCTACTTTCAAACTTCCTCTAATGTACACATTCTTAACTTTATCCAATCTTGTCACACCACACATCCACGTTAACATACGCATCTCAGCCACATGCAATCTCCTTTCATCCGCAACTATGTATGTTATAAATGAGTGTGTACGAAAAAAATTCGGTTAGTGTTAGTGTTTGATCTCACCGCTATCAAATTAGTTATTTGTCTAGTTGCAATGAACCAGGTATTATTATCTAAAGTGGAACACTGCGAAATTCCCCGACTGTACATTAGTGGTGGTACTATGTTGTGTTGCAGCTGCGAGATGAACGAGTGGGAGAGCGCGTGGTACTGGCGCGAGATGCGGCGGCGGCCCCTCATGATCAGCACCGCGGCCGAGGGGCCCGCGCGCCGCCCTGGCCGCCGCGCCCGCCACGCGCGCGCCGCGCCCCAGCAGCCCGCCCTGCGCCCCACGCCCGCGGTACGCCCCCTCCCCCCCCCACCACACTCACACACACACCATTCATACAAAGAATAACCTCAGAGTGCATGTTTTTTTAAGATTAAAGAGAGAGTTGAATTAAAATTATCAGCAAAATAATGTCGTTTATAAATCAAAAGATTTCAAATTTTGGTTTAATTCTTTTTATGAATAAATGTGTGATATGTCAAATGGAACACATTCTACATACACTATGTGCATGCTTTAGTCTATTTTCCAAGTAAAGTATGGGAAAAGAAAGTGGTTTTTACAATCTAATAGACTCATAACATTATTTCTATAATATGTGCTTAAAACGTCCGTAGCTCAGTGGTTTTAGTACTTGACTTGTAATCTACAGGTCTTGGGTTCAAATCCCGCTGTACTAATGTGATTTTTCGAATTTCATATGTACAAAATTTACTTTGTATACTTATAATGCAAAAAACATGCACATATCTGAAGAAATTTAAAGATATGTGTGGTTAGTCACCCTTAGGGTAGTCTCCCACCCTTAGTAGAAACGTATAGCTAATGAATGTCTTGCGAGGTCAGATGCTGCGTGTGGAGGAGTCTCCATCATCAGAGAGCTCCAGCGAGACGTCGGACTCCAGCGTGCAGCTGGACGGCAGCTCCGCCAGCGAACACTCCTCGCGTTCCGCGGAGCGCACGCGCCGCGCGCCAGACGCGCGCGCACGCGCACGCGCACGTGCACATGCGCTCTGCACTGACAGGTACACGCACAACTTCCACACTTAAATACTTGAATTACCAAATTTGATACCACGGTTAGAAATAACATTGGACATCTACAATTTACATGTTGCCTTTGACTGATAATCTTCTAGTTAAAAAACAATAAGCATTTCACAAAAATATATACAAATATCGTTTTTTTTTTACTTTTTTACATAGGGTACACTTATACATTTTAGTAGTAATTCGATTTAAAAAAAATCATGCATTTAAGAATTAAGGGGCTTTCCCATAACTGGCTGATAGAGGGTCAGATAGCTTAGAAATGACGTCACTGTCATAAAATAACAAAATCCGATATTTCCATCACATTTTCCATTCACAAAGAGACGTTATATCACTGGGAAATTGGTCTACATACTTCATCATACCCTTGTCCCTAAAGGGGGTCGGCAGTATGTGCTCGATACATTACTATTTCTCTCAATGCTTGTATTATTTGTCACTAGCATACGTCCAGAAGTGATACCAACAAAGTGAGTCTGAACTCTCTTTATTTAATTAATTTAAACAATTACAAGTATATTAACAAAATATCTTATTTAGTTTGCGTGCGGGAAGAGATACAGACATGTGAGTAGTATTAAGTAGACCTTAACTTAATTACACTTAGCAGTGGTAGAGCCCGCTTTAATATCGCACTCGCCTCGCAACCACGACCATACAGACAGATGTGAAGTGGAAGCAATTCCACATACACTCTAATGAGTGTCTAATTTTAGGCCCTATCCCATTCCATCCTTTTTTTTATACAAAAAGGTGGCAAACGAGCAGGCACCTAAATTCGCCAAATTGGCGAAGTGACCGCTGCCCATAGACATCCGCAATTGTAAATACGTAGTCTACCCTAAATCGACAGAGGAGACGCACATAAAGAGGACATTTCCTCTACCTATCCGTCTACCGTCAAATGCACTTTTCCTTCCCATCCTTTCCTCTTAAGAAATGGATGGAATGGGAAGGTACTAAAATGAGGCCTCCGCCACACTCATCAGACTGTACGCGGAATTGCTTCCACTTCCTGTTTTCTGTGTGGTTGTGGTATTGCTGGAGGCAAGCCAGCTCTACAGTGCGAAGATGTTAAAGCGGTCTTCCGCTCCACCACTGTTCTCTACCACTGTTCCTTCACGTGCGTCTCCTACTTCGATTAAGTGTAGGCAACGCATCTGCAATTACGGATGATTATCTCCATTTTGATGGTTCCAGGAGGTTTTTTCTTTTGCCATCTTATAATATACTAGCTGTTCCCGTGCGGCTTCATCCGCATGAAATTGTGAAAATTTTATTTTATTGTTTACATTTGACAAATTATCAATAGCAAATGTCAAAATGACAACATGACAAACCTCGGCAATCTTGCTTCCTTGATGTTGGCAGCAACTTATGGTCCTCTCTCCTACTTGGGTTTTTAACCAAAATATTTATCCCCTAAGTTTAATGGTGTGAAAATATATAGCCTAAAGCGTGATGTAAGTGTAGGGCTTTATATTAAAAAAATAATTATTCAAAAACATGCTGTAATTGCTGACACCTTGCAACAAAGAAGTGTGTGTTTACGCTTTATTATAATAGTAAAAAAATGGAATATTAAGTGAATTGTATGTATTCCAGTTCGTCGTCGTCGCAGTACTCGGACTGGGAGGCGGGGCCTGCGCTGGCGCCGCCCGCGCGCGCGCGCCGCCGCCCGCAGCCCACTGACAGGTACATTGTAAAGACTACGTCCTTGTGAAATAAAAAAAAATGAGTACCCTATGTGTTCTTCCAGACTATGCCACATTTCATGGAAATCCGTTCAGCAGTTTAGGCTACAAACTCTAACAAACATCCATCCATCAAAACTTATGTTAGTATGGTTTAAAATATTATTTGACTAATATTATAAATGTAATTAGATGGTTGGATGTTTATAAACTAAATTGCCGAATGGATCTCGATGAAATTTGGCATAATATAGGATAATCTGAAAGAAAACATGGCTACTTATTGTTTTATTTCACATAGAAGTCTTGAATAACATAGGTATTATTTGTATTAATTCCACACGAACGGAGTCACGAGCAATAGCTAGTAAATTAGGTATCTAGTAATCGTAAATACTATAGTTGTATTAAAATAATTCCAGATACAGTCCTAGTACGACAACAACGAAGCGCGTGTCAGCCGCTCAGAGCGGGCTCGCGAGCGGCGCGGACGGCGGGGCCACGAGCGGAGCGGGCAGCGGGGCGGGGGAGCAGGCGGGCGGCGCGGGGGGCGCGGTGGAGCTGCCGGAGGCGTACCGCGTCGGCGAGTGGCTGACGGCGGTGTCGCCGCGCAAGGCGCCCTACCAGCCCCAGATGGGAGACCACCTCATGTACTTCAGACTGGTGAGACAACAAGTGTTACACCTTTAAAAACTGAATTTTAGTCACTAAATAGATTATTTGCTTTATTTATTTCTTATTAATCCTGCTCGAAGGACCAATTTCAATATAAACGTAATTCCTTACAAAATGTTAAATTGCATACTCTAGATTCTTTATTTTGTATGGTTAGGTTAGTTAAATAATGTGTACAACAAGGTTATTCTGTGCGCAGGGTCACCAGCGGTACTTCGAGGCGGTGGCGGAGAAGGACGTTTACAAGATCAATTCGCGCGACAAGCCCTGGGACAGGATGCACATATACGTTAGTCTCGCCAATATTACTTATACCTAAAGAATTGCGTTTTAGTTCAATATATATAAAATGTTCTTGCTCGAAGGACCAAATGCCTATTTAATTAATTCCAGGAGTGCGAGTCGGTGAAGGTGGTGGGCATGAAGTATGTGATAAAGCCGCCGCGCGTGGTGAGCCTGCGGCTGGCCAGCTCGCTGCCGGGCGCGGGGGGTGTGGGGGGCGCGGCGGGCGGGGGGCGCACCTTCACCGTGCGCTACCACGACATGCCGGACGTGATCGACTTCCTGGTGCTGAAGCAGCAGTACGAGGCGGCGGTGGAGCGGCGCTGGGGGCCGGGCGACAGGTTCCGCTGCATGATAGACGACTCCTGGTGGACGGGCATCGTGCTGGAGCGCACCGGGGCTGCGGAGGAGGAGGAGGAGGAGGCGGGCGTGGGCGCGGGCGAGGCGGGCGCAAGGCGCTGGGCGCGGGACGCGGCCGCGCACTTCCTGGCGCTGCGCGTGCGCTGGGACAACGGCGAGGTGGAGAGACTCTCGCCCTGGGACCTGGAGCCCCTCGACCCGCAGAGGTATACCTACCAGGCATGGCCACACCGACCCTTAGGTGTAATTTCCCCCTTTTTTTGGTATCCGGTGGGGGGAAGGTGTAGTCCCCCCACCTCTAATACGTATGGCGACATGTTTGCCGTCGAGCATACACACCAGCGCCTATTCCAGTCTATTTCTTCTCTGATGCCAATGATATGCAAACTCACTTAGTCTAGCATAGTTGACTTGTTCCTTTTTCCTAACCAAAGTTACCTGACTAGTTAAGCAAAAACAATTTTTTGTCCCTGTTTAGTAACTAATTGTGAAATAGGAATCTTTTTGAATATAAATATGTGTTCAGACCCTACTGGTTTCGAAAGAAGAAAAAATATCCCTCTTTTTCACTAGTTACTCAAAAAAAAACTTCTTACTTAGGTAACTAGTTAGCTAGTAGGTAACTTTGGTTAAGAAAAAGGAACAAGCCAACTATGTTAGGCTACGTCGCGAAGTTCAACCCGCTACTGACAAGATGTAGATAGTAAAAAGTACGAATTGTTCTCAACCGTCACCCCGCTGTCATCTTTTGCGACGAGGGGACGGTTGGAAGTTATTTCTTAACCGTTTCACCTGTTGTGAGACGGCTGAAGGCGGGGAGAGCGGGGACAGGGAACAGTGTAAGAGTGCGGAGGTGTTGGCAGGCTGCCCGCGCAGGCCGGCGGCGCGGTGCCGGTGCTGAGCTGCGAGCTGGCGGGGGCGCTGCGGCGCGCGGAGACGCACGAGTGGGCGGCGGGCGCGTGCCGCCACATCGCGCGCCACCTCGCGCTCGCCATGTCGCTCTCCGCCGCCGAGCCCTTCGCCGCGCCCGTCGACCTGCAGCGCTACCCCTCCTACGCGCGCCTCGTGCCCTACCCCGTCGACCTCTCCACCATCCGGGCGCGCTTCGACAACCTCGTGAGTCCTTACAACTCTCTCTCAACAGTCAACATTGGACCAAACTTATTTCAATTCTTTATTACTATAAAAACATACCTTTAAAGTTTATTTTGAATGCAATTTGATTTAGTAGCGAAATTTAATCATTAAAAATATATTTTTTAAAACTCCCTCGCTAAGTTCTAAAACGCACACTATTGGTCGAAGTATATGACTTATCTATTATGGCGTCGCTGTGTTGCCAATACACAGTTCATTTACGCTAGTTTATACATAATAAGGAATTTACAACACGCTTTTATATGCTTTTCCCAACTCAAGTTTAATCGACTTCTGATAACTGAGAACCAAAAAATTACATTGTTGTTTCTTTACATTGAAGTGACATCTGAGCGGAATGTGACTAATGACGTCACGTGTCTCAAGCCAACTCCGATTCTGTATTAGTGGCATGAAAATGATCGTAATTTTAATTATTTTTTTTAGCTCAATGGTTAAATTTCGAGTGAAATTTTATTTTGTATGTTTGTGTCGCAGTACTACCGGCGCGCGGCGGCGGCGCAGTTCGACGTGCGCTGCATCGCCAGCAATGCGGAGCGCTTCAACGAGCCGCACTCGCCCATCGTGCGCCAAGCGCGCCTCGTCACTGACCTGCTGCTGCACATCATCAGGTGCCGACCCTCATTATCTCACCTTTCACACAATCCATCTCTTTCTACCTCGACTAGATGCTCTATTACCATAATATATATGTCGCAATCAGAGAAATCAATTTAAATTTAAGTCATAACGATCGAACGAACGAACTAATTTGAACGATATGAGCTTGGTAGATCGATGATAGATCTGAGAAGTATTGTGAATGTATTCCTGGCATCCGACTTTACCCATGGCCGCCATGGCCGCCCACATGAGATCTCGAGTACTAGTAATTCTGACATCGTGCTAGCTCAAGCCGACATATACTAAACACAAACTTCGTGGCGTAAGATGTCAGCAATTACACCATATTACCGTATTTTACTTATCGAGATTGTACTGTAATGTTTGTACCACGTTGCAGTAACTGGCGCAACGTGGACGTGGTGGCGAAGTACCACGAGCTGGCGGCCGCGTACCACTCCTCGGATGACGAGCCGCTCGCTTCTACACTTACTAAGGTTAGATTTAGGAGGAATATTTAGAGCGTCGGTGGCTCAGTGGTTTGAACTTGACTTGTAATCTACAGGTCTTGGGTTCGAATCCTGTATCAATGTGATTTTCGATTTTTCGAATTTTCATATGTACATAATTTACCCGACGTTCTTATGGTGAAGGAAAACATCGTGATGCACATATCGGCGAAGAAATTAAGATATGTGTGAAGTCAACCCGCAGTGGGGCAGCGTGGTTGACTATGGCCTGGTCACCCCTGATTAGGGTAGGCTCCGAGCCCCTCGGTGGGGACGTATAGTGAGCTGGTGATGATGATTTAGGAGGAATATTTCTTTCTGTACTTATATGTACTAATATTATAAATTATTCCAATTTGGATTTTCGGACTTTTGTATGTATATTCACTCAAAAACTACTGAGTTTATTTTGAAAATTCGGTACTATTCGTAGTTATTTACCTGTAACATAGGCTATGTTTAATAATTTTACGCAGGTGAAGTCGCTAGCAACAGCGAGTATATTATAAGGTGGCAAATCATACACATAAAGAGGATATTTCCTCTTCCTATGCTTCTCTCCCCTCAAATAATTAAATTCCATAAAAAATTAGACATGTAATTTAATATACAACAATCTTAAAGTTAGTAAAAATAAAAAAAATGTGGCAACTGGTGGCAAACGGTGGCAAGCGGTGGCAAGCTCAGCTAATGCAGGGATTGGCCGCTTACACACAAGTGTTGTCACAGGGTAACAAATGTACTTTCCCTTCCCATTCTTTCCGTATAAAATGGGAAAGGAAGGGGATACATTACTTGTCTTTAGTTGAGAGATGTGTAAGCTGTGTGTGTGTGTGTGTGTCAGCGTGGTGGGGGCGGGGGC